CCCACAGACAACAGCCTCCTTCACGACACAACCCTGATTCATCCCCAGAGCAGGTCCATCCACTGCACTGAATAAGCCAGGGGTCCTGTGGAAAACACAGTATGTGATTGTGTAACTGAAGACTGCATTACAATGAGTATGCACAAGGTTGTCTTCTCTGAGTCAGCCTTTTGTTCTCTCTGAATTTGAAGCAGATGGCTTCTTTCTCTGTGCTGCCTAGGCATCAGCAGAAAGAGTTGCTAAGAGTCCGGGAGAGACAGGCTCCCTAATGTCAATTCTGGTGCAGAGCCTGGAGCAGCCATTACAGGGACAGTGCTCATCCCATAGCCCTGGGTTGCAGCATGCTCACTTGCTTTGTGGGGATGGCACATGTGCAGTCAAGTCAACAATAGGAGCTGTGGAAGGTTCAAGCATGCTCACTGTGCATGGAATCTTTGGAGATTTTAGCTAATTTCCTAAGTCTCTACTGAGCCTGTGTGCACTGCTGCTTTTCAAAGGCTTATTACTTGGCCAAATTTGTATGGATTTTCACAGGCATGGCAAAAGGCACAAAGGCCAACCCCTGGCAAATTTCAAGTCCATGATCCAAAGCATCGGGGCACAAGAGCTTTTCCAAAAAAAAAAAAAAAAAAAAATCATCACCAGAATTTTTTTTAACACAGATAAATCATTGTATTTTTGGTAGCCTCATTCTCAGAAGTGCTGAACCATTTTGTCTGAAATATTTCCCCCCACATCAGCCTGAGGCAGGTACTCAGCGTGGGAAATTTCAGCCCCAGTGGTTAGATTTTGGCAAAGTTATAAGCAACTGGAAAAAAAAAAAAAGAGTCTTCTAATAGGAAGTGGTGGGCAACTGAAGAAGAGCTCTGGGTAGCTCGAGAGCTTGTGTCTTTCCCCAACAGAAGCTGGTCCAATAAAAGATATTCCCTCACGCAGCTTGTCACTTCAATAATACACATTCTCAGGGGAAAAAAAAGTCAGTAAGGCTGAGACTGCCGATCAGTAATTTAAGGATTAAAATAAGAAACGAGGCTGTTGTGATTTAAAAAAAAAATAAAGCAAACAAAACCTCCATCATTAGAAAGCCCAGAAATTCAAGAGTTAAGATCAAACTTAAAGAAACCCCAACCTTTGGAAGTGTAGGAATGCATAAAGGTCATCCAAGCAACCTTATCTCTATGTCCATAAATAGAGCTGGCTGACCCTGCCTCTTGAGCTGGAAAAGAGAGATCAGCATGCAGAGGTCCTCTGTGCGCAGAAACCCACAGGGCACAATCTGGTCCATCGTTTGGGTTACACATTTGGTATCTGTTGAGGTCAGTACTATTCCTCATACTAACAACCTTTTATGGCCATCTGGATTGCTAGCTAGAGCTTACTACTCCAAGACTGTTACCCTTCCTGGAAAAATGGTTGACTAAATTCTTGCTTTGTCTTTGTGGTTTTTGTTTTGTTTTGTTTTTTTAAATAAATGAAGATTGTGTTCTCAAGTAGTAAGCAGTACTGCCAACCCCAAAGGTTAAAAAAATCACTCAGACCCTGAAATTCATCAGACTGGCTCCAAAGTCATGGGATTTAAAAAAGATTATATTATGTTTTCATTTTATCTTTTGATCTCCGCCTCCTCCAGAGAGAGACTGTGTGAATTAGCATTACCAACATACCCAAATTTATGAAGCTGATTTTGGTCCCTGCTGCAGGAGGTCTTGTCTCCAACTCCCCATCAGTTCTCCCCCCTGCCCACACTTATCCAACCTCTCCAGCTACCGCTCCCTTTCACCCATCGATTCTGCTTCCCCAACCTCACCAGTGCACCCCCATGGCTCTTCACTTGCCCATCTCTCCCAGGCTGGGGAGAAGGGAGCAACTCCATCTTCACCCTCCTCAGACTGAGAGTTACGGGGGAACACTTACAGCAGCTGATTTCCAGTGGCTTTTCTGAATTCTAAGCCCAGATTCTGGCTGAATTCCTTGAGGCTTGGAGTGGTCAGGTGGGGGTCTTCCCCCAACAATGGCTTAAAGATATTTGGGGTATGTCTTCACTGCAGAGTTAACCTTGGTGATTGGCATCAGGGACTAAGCACCTGGGTTAGCCGAGCCCGGGTGTGAGCAGCCACACTATAAATCCATCTCAGAGTTATGGTCCCCAAAGGTGCTGCACTCACCTGTGTATATCACTAGGACTTCAGGGGGGCACATCCCAGGCTTCTTGTGCTGCAGCAAGTTGAGCCAGCTCCATGATTCTTCCCATTGATTTGTGGGAAAACTTCTGTCCTTTGGGCACTTGGGGGTAATAATGAGAAGGCACTGCAGGGCTAGTCACACTTGAGTTGTTTAGTCTGTCTCCTCTCTATAAAGTGGGTGGGTTACCAACCTGAGTGAATTCAGCACAGGGGCTTTAGCCTATACCCCAGGGCAGGCCAGCTAGCCCAGGCATAGGACACAAATACACTAGGCTGGAGGGTTGTGTGTGTGTAGGGGAGCTGGGTTAGGGGCAACACCCGAGTTAATTCTGTAACGAAGACATGCCCTTGGGTACTACAAATCTAGGGCTCAACATCAGGCCATCACCAGCAGATCTTAAAGCTGAAGTACTACTAGCCTACACCCATTTCTTTATGAACACTCACCTAGGTCATGAGATGCTTGTGACCAAGTCTTGCCTCAGCATAATCAAAAGCACGATTAAAAGCTATACTTCTCCATGCACATGGGATGCCAAATTTTGTTTAAAAGATGCTATTTAAATCATATTAGATGCTGATGCTATGCTCAGCACAGTACAGGACACAAAAATACAATCTCTGCCCTAAAGATCATACAATGTAAATGACAGACATAGAAAAACCAAGGCAAACTGGGTAGCCCAGAGGAAGTCATTAACTTATATTTTTATAATTATTATTATTGTGTATATTGTGGTAGCACCCAAAGCCTCCATTCAGTTCTGTTGTGATGGGCACTATACAGTTTTGTTTGTCATGAGCTATCACTGCTTTTCCAGTTTGACGTGGGGGTGGACAGTGAGTGTGAGGGTTTCACTGGAGAAATTAATCTTGTACACCCAAAATACTAATTGTGAAAAATAAGAATAAGCCCCTCTCTCTTCATCTCATGTTTGTGATGCCTTTCCATCCATTCCAGGATGTGTCAAGAAGGTTGAAAGTTTTAATTTTTTGAAGCACTAGAATGATCAAGTCTTGTCTTTCCTAGTTTTGCTGGAGGACTTTTGGGAGCCTGCTCATCCCTCATGTGAAGGGATGGCCAATCGTTAACAAAAATACCCTAAGTGTTTATTAGGCATTAGGCAAAATAGATGTTCATAATAATACATAGCTCTTATCTAGAGCTTTTCATCAGTAGATCTCAAAGTGCTTTACAAAGGAGGTCCCCATTTTACAGGTGGGGAAACTGAGGCACAGAGCAGGGCAGTGACTTGCCCAAAGTCACCCAGCAGGCCAGTAGCAGAACTGGTAACAAAGCCCAGCTAGCCTGAGTCCCAGTCCATAATCTAATAAAAAAAACCCTACAACAGTCCTCCCCCCCAAGTTTTATAGTCTGAATAGTCTCCACTTTGCAATTACTCTGCTGAAAGTTTCTTATGAATTTATAATCCCACTAACTTCTCTAGTTACCCACAGAGTTCTCGATAGATGTGATCAGAATTTCTAATGTAAAAAATAAGCAAGGGAAAAAAAATACTTTAAAAAGACCAAAACCAACAAATCTAATCTATTTCAAGCCACCTTTATATATCCCAAAAGGAGTGAAAAATGTACACCCTCCAAATTTTTTCCCCCCTTCCCTGCTAGGTTGTCTTATAGCTATAAAGTTTTCTGAACTGAAGTGAACAGGGCATAGTGTATCAGAATACATCATAGGTGCCTACTTCCCCTCTGCCCGGTGGGCCCTGCCCTCGCCCTTCCCCTATTCTACCCTCTTCTCCCTAGTCCCCACCCCTGCCCCGCCATTTCTTCGCCTCCTCCTCTGAGCGCGCCGTGTCCCCGCTCATCCTCCTCCCTCCTGGAAAGTCCTAAGTGCCGCCAAACAGCTGTTAGGTGGTGGGGGTGGGGTGGGGCTGGAAGCACTGGGAGGGAAGGGGAGGAGCAGAAACACGGCATGCTGGGGAGGGAGAAGGAGGCAAGGAGGGGGAGCTTGGCTGCTGGTGGGTGCAGAGCACCTGCTAATTTTTCCCCGTGGGGAAAAGGCAACTCCCATCTTTTCATGGGCTGTGTATTTATACCTGCTACTGTATTTTCCACTCCATGCATCTGATGAAGTGGGTTCCAGCCCACGAAAGCTTATGCCCAAATAAATTTGTTAGTCTCTAAGGTGCCACAAGGACTCCTCATTGTAGTTGTAGTTTAGTTTGTTGTTTCTTAGCATTCATGTATGTAATGTGAAAGCATTCAGATCTTCAGACTTGACAATTGTATATTCTGTGAAAAATAGTCAAACAATTTAACTTACATTTCTAAAAAAATATTGGAGGAGTCATGGCAGAAATTTGGTTTCACAGATGATCGGGCCAGAAAAGAGGGACCACTGTGATAATCTAGTGCAGGGGTTCTCAAACTTCATTGCATAGCGACACCCTTCTGACAACGAAAATTACTACATAACCCCAGGTAGGAGGCCTGTAACCTGAGCCTCGCCACCCAGGGCTGAGGCTCTCTGGCTTCGGCTTCAGCTCTGGGCAGTGGGGCTTGGGCTTTGGCCCCGGGGCCCAGCAAGTCTAACACCAGCCCTAGCGACCCCATTAAAACACAAAGTGGGACCCACTTTGGGACCCACAGTTTGAGAACCACTGATCTAGTGTGATTTTCTGCATATCTCATCCATAGAATTTCACCCTGCATCAATTTGCGGTTGAACAAGAGCATTGTTCAGACGGGGTTGAATAGATGGGCCTAAACCACATCATTAGAGTCCCCCCCCTTCCCCACCCACAAAGTGAATTAACATAACTAAATAATGTGCAGATCCCATATCCAGTGGCAATGGTCACATCAGGTGATTTGTCAATTTTTATTTTAAGATTCTGGGGGTCAGTTGACATTTACCAGTGAGCTAATTTCTAATCAGTCATTGCACATTTTTAGAATCTCTCTGCATACATGTCCATTGCTATATTCCTTTTTTAGGCTACACTACCTAGTTTTATTTATGGTATCCTGACTCTGATCAATATTCTCTATCTGATCTATGAGAAAAGAAAGGAAAGGCAAGCAGCTAGAGTAAAGCCAGAAGCAAATCAGAAAATAAAAACTTTGATAAAAGCTCTCCTAGCAGAAGAGAATAAAAATCTAAACCAACACCACATTAAGCAAAAAAATCAATATTTTATTGACTAGAAAACAGAGAGCTTGTGGTTAGTTATTATCCACATAGATTTTATGCTATTGCAGTTTGGCACTGGCCTATTTTCATATAGTGTACTTTTCTTTTTATGTCTTCTTAATGTAATTACCACTTTCAATTAAATAAGGGAATGAGATCTTACTGCAACTGAGGTCAAAGAAAAGACTCCTATTAATGGCAATAGACTTTGGATCAGCGCCTAAAAGGACACACGTGCTCCTGAAGTTAATGTGAGTAAGATGTTTTTTAAAACACATCAAGAGCATGGTAAATGGTACAAAACCTGCCCTTGAGTATTTCAGTGCACCATTCTCAATGGCGCAGTATAATGATAGTTTAATTACATGAAAGCGTGGAACAACAAAGGGAAGAACCATTTGTAACACTAATCTAGATGGCCTTTAATATAGACACTTTTACTTTAAAAGCTCAGCAAGCAGATGAAATCCTCTCCAAGTGACATAAATGAGATATAGGAACAAACCTACATTGTTCTGTTGGCCTATCGATTGTAATGAAAATAATATTAAAAATCCTTGCTATAATGCTGGTAAATGTACATGGCTCTTAACAAAAAGAGTAGGACATGCTCCTTGTTCTAAAGCACTGACAGTCTTAATATAGACAAGGCAAACACATAAGAAAAGATATTAGATCACAGCTCAAAGAAGTGAGAGCAAGGAGAAACTATTCATGATGAGAAAGATGGTTGGGTTTCTGGAAAATGGGTTTCAGGAGGAGAGAGAGGTGGCTTGGCAGACACGAAGGTGACTCTCAAGCCATATCTACACTAGGAAAAAGGGTGTATGTTTAATATGTACTAAAATCCTAGTGCAGACAAGGCAGTTGCAGTTTTAAGACGTTAGCTAGTTGTAAATTATAAATTAGCGCTCTGATTGAGGGAGCTAATTGATTTTGATGGCAGATTAAAGTGTAGTTTTATTTATTTATTTATGTCCTGAAAAGTTGACGAAGCAAAAAAAAAGTTTAACTAAAACTGGCTAATTTTGGTAAAGGGGCTGTAGTTCAGCTCTGCAAATCACTAGTCTTGGAACAGATTTTTATTTGTTTGTTTGTTAAGAACGGATATAGGCTTTGATGCTTCAGAGCATAAACCAACTCTCAGTGGTAGGCAGCGCCAGATTTAGGTGCAGGCAACCCAGGCTTGGGGGGCACCAGGCTTGGGTGGGTGCTGTTTTTGTTTTTAGAAACAAAAGGAAAAATAGAATGTTTGAAGTAAAATGTTTCAGGTATTTCATATGTGGATTCACTAATCTTCTAGACTCTTCTGGACCTTTGTAGAATCTCATGGAACCTTCCAGACTTTCGGAGAACTACATTTTCCTTGAACCTCCTAGAATGTTGTCAGCCATGCCCTTGGGAGCATATAAGGGGTGGGGCATTGCCAGTCAGTCAGCGAGATATAAGAACAAAGTGAAGTGAACTGCGGGCCTAGCTGCGATATTATGAACCTTGTGTTATTGTGTAATTGTGAAAGTGTACTTGTGTCTTAAGACTTGAAGAACGTAAGTAGCAACTAATAAAGGACATACGTAATGAGATGCCAGAGATATCTATCAAACTCCTATCTGCACAACAATATAAAAGAAATATTATTACTTCTTTTGCCATGGTTAACATGTAATGTTTGATGACTTTCTAATACTGTGGAACATTGTTCTGATTAAATATTGTGGCCCAGTGGGGAATGCACCACCACCACTTTACACCTGAGTGTCTGCATCAGTAGACTACTAGTATAAGTTTTCTTCATTGAGGTAATCTATTATGTCTTCCAAATATAGATTTTTCATAGTCATTCTTGGATTATGTAATATCAAATTCTAAAGCTCCCAACAGCAGAGTGCACTGTTTTACCAGGACAAACATACTGTATTTCCATTAAAATAGATATAGAAATTTCTTTGGAAATGTTTTCTTAACCAGAACTGTGTAAAAATCTTTTTACAAGATATAAGGCATGCATGTAGCAGCTGAGCACTGTGATAGAACTGAACTGCTGTTGAAAAGCAACTTGAATGACTAAATAACTCTTAATGGCCTTTAAATGAATTCCTGACCGCAAGGTAAGGAAGTACTTGGTTACAGCATGCAAGGCTGACGTCTCTCTCTCCCTAACTATGCAGCAGAGCCGCATTCACGACAGAGGATGTCATCTTGCTGGGTGAGGAATCCTTGTCCCACCAGCGAAATGGAACATTTCACACAGTTAAAGCAGGCATTGTGCCACTGGCGCTCTTCAAATGAGATAAATTTGGCACCTCCGAGCGCTGGAAAAGAAATGAGAAAAAAGGGAATTCAGTAGACTTTAGAAGAGATCAGAAATAGATTGTTTTTGAATGTAGCATGTTGTCTTCTGTCACACTGAAATCCACAAGCATCCTATAGTTTGAAACAGCCTGTAGAAATAGATTTGCCCAACATATGCATCGTAGGAACTAAAAATTAGAGATGGGAAAAACGTTTGCAGCAAAGCCCCAGCTGTGAGACACCTGGCTGTTTTCATATCCCATTACGACCTCTAAACATGGACCTGGCTCATCAAAACATCCACTAAGGTTTACAAATCTTTCCAACTACCCTGCACCCAGCTTCCAGCAAACTGCCATAGAAATCAGAGGCAACATGTACACGAGGCATGTGGGGTTAAGTGCTTGGGCCCACCTGCCAGGGACAGCGGCCAAACATGCCAGGGGGAGGTGCAGTGGGAGAGGGACAGAGCCCCCTCTCCCTTCAGGTAACATGGGCAGGGAGAGTGCAGTGGCCCTGGGCTGGGTACAGGGCGGGGGAGGAGACATGTGGGGTGTTCACATGTCCCCCCCTTTGGATTTTGCCCCCCAGTATGGGGAGTCATGAGTCATCTATGGTAGAAATCGTGGGTAATGTGTGGGTTGTGTGGTTCAAGTGCAAAACCAAGTGCTATTCAGACATTTCAATTTCGTATCTCTGAGATTTAGGGATTTTCATACTCCAGCACTCAAACTGAAAGTCACTAGATTTGAGCTATGTGAAACACAAGCTCCCAGAAAAAGCATACCCTCAGGTATACTGGTGTAATTGTGGAACTCTATAAATTAATGTTAATTAAGATTTTTTTTCTGTCTCAGATATTCCTGAATCTGTTCGTGCCCCCCACCTTGTAATCTTATCATAGGTGACTGAATTTCCCTCACTTTCCTTGATTTATATAGGAGGATCAGACATCTGTAATTAGCTGGCTCCATTACACTTCATCATTGGGCTAGAGGAGTAATAGATTCACTATTAATAGTCTCAACTAATGGTCTCAGAACAGTCAGAGTGTTAACCTGGCATTGAATTATTAATGATTTAAGCACACAGGGCCAAATCATGATACAAGTTTTCCATGAGTGGCAAGATCTCTTAATTTGATAAATGTGCCTTAGCTGCACAGAACAGTTAAATCTAATTAACCTACAATTGTACTAGTTTTATGTCTGAAAAAACCTGATTACTGAAATAATGTCTGATATGTGTGTGTGCCTACTAGAGGTAGGATACTATTAAGTGTCTCTTCATGTATCCTTCGGGACCTGAGTCACTCAACTTCACTTTGCAGCTTTTTCCACTCCAAGGGAATGTCTACACTATGAAATTAGGTCGAATTTATAGAAGTCGGTTTTTTAGAAATCGGTTTTATACATTCGAGTGTGTGTGTCCCCACAGAAAATGCTCTAAGTGCATTAAGTGCATTAACTCGGCGGAGCGCTTTCACAGTACCGAGGCTAGAGTCGACTTCTGGAGCGCTGCACTGTGGGTAGCTATCCCACAGTTCCCACAGTCTCCGCCGCCCATTGGAATTCTGGGTTGAGATCCCAATGCCTGATGGGGCTAAAACTTTGTCGCGGGTGGCTCTGGGTACATATCGTCAGGCCCCCGTTCCCTCCCCCCCTCCGTGAAAGCAATGGCAGACAATCGTTTCACGCCTTTTTACCTGAGTTACCTGTGCAGACGCCATACCATGGCAAGCATGGAGCCCGCTCAGCTCACTGTCACCATATGTCTCCTGGGTGCTGGCAGACGCGGTACTGCATTGCTACACAGAAGCAGCAACCCATTGCCTTGTGGCAGCAGACGGTGCAATAGGACTGGTAGCCGTCATCGTCATGTCCGAGGTGCTCCTGGTCACCTGTGTGAGGTCGATCAGAAGCGCCTGGGCAGACATGGGCGCAGGGACTAAATTTGGAGTGACTTGATCAAGTCATTCTCTTTAGTCCTGCAGTCAGTCCTATTGAACCATCTTATGGTGAGCAGGCAGGTGATACGGATTACTAACAGTCCTATTGCATCATCTTCTGCCGGGCAGGCAAGAGATGAGGATGGCTAGCAGTCCTATTGTACCATCTTCTGCCGAGCAGCCATGAGATGTGGATGGCATGCAGTCCTTCTGCACCATCTGCTGCCAGCCAAAGATGTAAAAGATAGATGGAGTGGATCAAAACAAGAAATAGACCAGATTTGTTTTGTACTCATTTGCAAACCCCTCCCCCGCCCCCCGTCTAGGGGACTCATTCCTCTAGGTCACACTGCAGTCACTCACAGAGAAGGTGCAGCGAGGTAAATCTAGTCATGTATCAATCAGAGGCCAGACCAACCTGCTTGTTCCAATAAGAACAATAAGTTAGGTGCACCATTTCTTATTGGAACCCTCCGTGAAGTCCTGCCTGAAATACTCCTTGATGTAAAGCCACCCCCTTTGTTGATTTTAGCTCCCTGTAAGCCAACCCTGTAAGCCGTGTCGTCAGTCGCCCCTCCCTGCATCAGAGCAACGGCAAACAATTGTGCATCTGAGTTGAGAGTGCTGTCCAGGGCAGTCACAACGGAGCACTCTGGGATAGCTCCCGGAGGCCAATACCGTCAAATTGTGTCCACAGTACCCCAAATTCGACCCGGCAAGGCCGATTTAAGCACTAATCCATTTGTCAGGGGTGGAGTAAGGAAATCGATTTTAAGAGCTCTTTAAGTCGAAATAAAGGGCTTCATCGTGTGGACAGGTGCAGGTTTACATCGATTTAACGCTGCTAAATTCGACCTAAAGTCCTAGTGTAGACCAGGGCCAAGAATGTACAAGACATTTACATAAACCACAAGAGAAGCTCTTTTAGTACATAAAAATAATGTAATGCTTAGCTTGTACTGAATGACACGTGATTTATATGTTCCAACAAGATATAGTGCATGTAATATGGAGGGGAGCTAGATTCTGTCTTCATTTACATCTGTGTCACTCTGTTTAGTATTAAGGAGGTTTAACTGGATGGGGTTGCATTTACTTAGCTAAGAACAGAATTTGGTTCATGGAGCTCACTTTCATATGGCTGTGAGCCTACAGACTGTCCCTTCAATGGGGTAAGTTTTATAACAAAGAATCAAATAGATTTTGTTTCTTCTTTTTGAGTGCATTGGAGGATGAATACAGGAGGGCCCCTTTTCTGTCACAAGACACCATGGGACAGATCTTCAGCTGATGTACATTGCCCTGGCTTCACTGAAATAGTCTTCCCATCACTGAAGTCAATGGAGCTATGATAATTTACACTAGCTAAGGATCTGCCCCGTGTGTATATATGTAGGTACTTATATGGCCACCTCAGTACCTTACAAACGTGAATTAATTTATCCTTACAACACCCCTGAGAGGAAAGGGTTATTACTATCCTAATTTTGCAAATGGGCAATTGAGGCCTAGAGAGAATAAGTGGCTTACCCAATATCACACAGGAAGCCTGTCAGAACCAGGAACAGAATCAAAATCTCCCATGTCTCAGTCCAGTGCTTTAACCACAAGACCATCCTTTCCTCCCTATTTAGCAGAGGAGTAAGAAAAATGATAATCTCTACGGCTATGTCTACACTGCAAAGAACAACTTGTGACGCTGGGTCTCAGAGCCCTGGTCAACTGACTTGGGCTTGTGGGGCTCAAGCTGCAGGGTTAAAAATGGAGGGTAGATGTACCCTTAGAAATGATCGTTTTTCTTACTCCTCCACTAAATAGGGAGGAAAGGATGGTCTGTGTAAATCCACCATTTACTCTAGTTGAAATGTGCAAGTGACCAATAGCCCATGCTACAGAGGAAGGCAAAAAGCCCTCAGGGTCTTGCCTGAGCATTTCGGCAAGATGCACCAGCCAGGCACCTAGGAAACAATTCTCTGTAGTAACTCAAAGCCTTCTCAATGTAGTCACCCATCACTGACCATTGGGGATATTTACTACTAGCAGTTGCAGATCAGCTATGTATCATTGTAGGCAGTCTCCTCATACCAACGCCTCCATAAGCTTATCAAGCTCAGTCTTGAGGCCGGTTAGGTTTTTTGCCCCCACTGCTCCCCCTGGAAGGCTGACAGTTCAGCTTTCAGTATGACCCACTGTAGTCTCCCCTTTACCCAGTTCTTTATCTAACTTTCAGTTGGATTAATCCCCATCTTGTCCAATTTAACTAATAATTTCCCATGTGGAATTGTATCAAATGCCTTACTGAAATCCTTGTAGAATAAATTTACTGCATGTCCCTTGTCTAAAAAAATCAGTTATCAGTGTGTATCTCTACTCTGCAATGTAAGCCCAGGGTTTGAACTCAGGCTCAAGCCTAACCCCCCTTCTGTCCACACACAAATCACGCTAAAACAGGGCTTAGACCCAGGATCCCAGGACCTTATGGGGGCAGACAATCTTAGCGTGAGTCAAGCTGGGACCCATGGTTCACACCCTACTGCTTTGCAGGGTAGCCCTTGCCGGACTTGTGTTCTGTGAGTCCACCAAAAGTATTCCATAATCCCATAGGCAGAATTTCTTTGTCCTCTAAACAGTTAATTTTGGTGGACAGTCAAGTTTTCATACACTGCACCATGAATGAAGGACTAGAGTGGCCGCATTTTGGGAGAGCGCTAGGAAGTCTGGGATATAGGCAGACCCATATGATGTCATGTAGAGTTGGAGCCCCAGATTGGGACTCAGGGTTCAATAATTTCTAATCTAAATTAACCTCAAACCCTAGGATAACAAACCCAGGGTCTGGTAACACAAGTTCTACTAACAGTGTAGTCATACCCAGGAAGTGTTTTTTAAGCAAACTGATAATTAAAATTCACAGTAAGTGCAATTATATAATTACAAGTAGAATATTTTGTGACAGTTAATAGACATCTGACCTGAGACAGCACTGATAACTTTTTAGTGGCTGGTCTACTTTAAACGGTTAGACTCACCAGTAATGGGTTTGTTGCAGGCCGCACATGTCTTTGCATAAAGCTTTCGGAAGCAGTCTAGGCAGTATGGATGGTCATCTTTGGAAATAAACCGCTGCCCAGACAGCTGCTTCTTACATCCAGCACACAGAAAACATTCTTTGTGCCATGGCTGGTCGTGGTACGTCACTCCACCAGTAGTTATCATCTGATGCAGCAACAAAAAGCAAACAAACAAAGGAATGAAAGCGTGAACAACAATCGATAGCAATCAGCTGCAAAACCAAACATTCAGATAACATTTGAGCTCTAGTCTAAACTAGGAATTCCCAAGGTGTGTGGTATTTTTTAAATAAATCTTCTTATTTCTTTTCTCTCTGCCATATAGATAGATAGATAGATAGATATAGAGAGAGTGTCTCAATTGTTTTCAGTTTGATTTTTAATCTTGACTGGGACTGATATGAACATGCAGCTGCATAAGTTATTCATGTTGGTTCCATTGCAGGTACTTATATGGGCCCCAATTGCAGTAGTATCTGTGCACCTCACCATTTCTGGTGCATTTATTATCACAACAGCGTGTGAGGTAGGGGAGAGCTGTTATCCTCATTTTACACAGACACTAAGTGACTTGTCCAAGGCCACACAAGAAATCTGTGGAACAGCAGGCAATAGAATCCAAGTTCTCCAACTCCCAGGCTAGTACCATAACCACTGGACCATCCCTTTTGTATTTAGAGTATAAACTCTTCAGGGCAGGGAATATCTCCACAGCATGGACGGTGGATATAGTAGGCCAGGGGAGGCTAAGCCTCCCCAAACAGCTAGGCTGTGGCCCCTCCTGTGCTCCGCCCCGAGGCCCCGCTCCCATGTTCCTCTCTTCCCCCGTGGCCCCGCCCATGCTGCTCCTCTTCCTGCCCTTGCCCAGCCTCTCCCCTGAAGCCGGTGAGATCTAGGGTGGCTGAGCTGGCGGGTGGGCTAGCGCTCGGGGCGGGGCGGTGGGGGCGGACTGGCTGGCAGCCCAGGGCAGCTGGGCAGGATCCGGGGAGCTGGGGCTGGTCAGCTGGAGGGCCAGTGCTCAGGCCAGCTGGGGTGGGCTGCAGGCAGGAGGGCCAGAGCTTGGGCCAGCCGGCAGATCAGGGCAGGTTGGCTGTGGCCTGGGACGGGCGGTGGCTGAGACGTGGGATGGCTAGGGCAGGGATCCTCCAGCCACAGTGGGAGGCTCGGAGATCCAGCAGGGGAAGAGAGGAATAAGGGATGGAGCTGGGGGATAGCCTCCCCAAATGGGGGGTTCATGGACCTCCCATGTCTCTCGGAATAGGTCTACACTGCAACAGAGAAGGGTGATGCCCAGCACAGGTAGACAGACTTACACTAGCTCTGCTCAAGCTAGGCTGCTAAAGATAGCACTGTGCACATTATGGCATGGGTGCAGCTTCTGCTAGTTGCCCAAGTCCAAGCCTGTCTAAGCTGCTATGGCTAGCCTGAACCACTATCTGTGCTCCAAAGTCTTCACTACTATTTGCAGCACACTAGTTTAAGCAGAGCTAGTCAAGTCTAGCTACATTGGTTGGGAATCATACCTCCCGGATGCAGTGCAGACATATCCTAACTTGGGTTTGTATGGTGCTGAAACAATGGAGCTACTTCTTGATTGGGAGCTCTAGGGTGTTACTGTAATACCAATAATTAACAACTGCAGAAGCAAGGAGGACCTGAGGTTGGGATGGTATGAGAATTCTGTTCATTACAAGCTCATTTTCAACCCCTGAGCAGCTCTTGGGCAACTTTTAAAACATTTTCAAAAATATTTTATATTAACGAAGTAAGCAGTAGACAGAATAAGTAAACATTATCGTAAAATGTTCTTACACTCTTTAGCAGAGCAAAGCACACAGTATGAACTTCCATTCTGCTACACCAGTTGTCCTCGTATGCTCGGATATGAAACTATCAACTTTATCTTTGTATTTAGATTAACTCCCTTGGTGCCATCCTGTGAAAAGGTCACTTGTATGCCATGTGGCTACGCTCTGCACTTCCTGCTGTTTCATGTAGGTTCAGCTGTAAAACCTCTAGGTGTGTATAATGTATGGCATTTACAGAGGTTATTTTAACCTTGTAGTTTCTGTAATCAAACTCTGCCTATAGTGTCCTACTGTGCATGCATTTTGACATTCAGCTACCTTGTCCAGAATTGCATTAAAAAGAGCGTAGTCGTGTCATATAGTGTTCTAAATCTTCCCTTTGGTTATGTTTGATCAATTACCTTCTTGCAGGAGTAGCAGTGGTGAGCAAACTGCTTCTCAAAACATGGCACACAATAATTCTCATTGTCTTTGGTAATCAAAGGCTTTGTTCCTAATGGTTGCCGGCAGTATTGACAAACAAAACAGGTTTCATGCCAGCAACTCCCTTTAAATTCCATTTTACGAGAACCTGAAAAACAAAACAAGCATGTGCGTCCCACTGAAGTTAAGTGATCATCTTGCAGAAAGACAGCACCTCCCACTCATCCCCCATCCAGGTGAACTTGCATAAACTGAGATTTTAGATTTTTTTCTTGTATCAAAATATTTTAGGACAGGTTCTTCTGCATCCCAGTGCCCTTCTATCCTGTGGTCAAGCAGCACACTGGATTGAGCATGTCACTTTCACAAACTGGGGATTAATTTGCTTAGATATTTAAACATGCCCATGAATTCTCCTACTCTTGAGGTCTTTTCACTTACACAAATTTCCTGCAACTTTCTTATGGCAGGACAAACTCCTTTGCTAATGAATACAAGTCCTGAATAAGTAATTTCATTCAATCCAGCTGGCATTAGTTTCTCTTCAAATTCAATTTAATTTCTTTGGAACGATGCAGGAAATGACACAGTATCTTAGAGTTGCTAATCATTTTCACCACAGATCACTAATGATTACTTCTACCCTATACAGATTGTCAAAGGTCCAGGGCATGATGGTCTGGTACATCTCAGGTACTGAGGCAATCCCCAAAGGAAGCTGCCTATATAAATATCTATCAAAGGAGATTTGGAAGCTCGGAGTTTTGCACTTTGTTTGTTGAGTCAGATCTGCCAAAACCCTTGCCTTTGAGCCCATGATTACCATTGCCTCCCATGCCCAATTCATCTACAAAGTCATAACCTGTATACACCCATGTACTATAATGCTTCTTTCAGTGACTCCACATTGCAATTTCCCCCTTCTTCTCTGGCAGTGCCTCAGTGCTGAGAGATCCGGGACCTCTAATTATTCCCCATTGCAGGGGAGGAGGAGGCTGCTTGCTCCAACAGCAGGTGATCCTGCAGGGAGGAGAGTGCCCACATTCTGGATGGGCGGAGAAGCTGCTGAGTCAGTTTTGCTTTAACATCATTGGGTTGGAGTTTCCCCTGAGCACTGAGCACTCACCAGAGTGGGTAAGAGAACAGGACTTGGTAACCCTGGCAATTGGGGCTTATCCTGAAGTTAGTAATCAGAAAAATAAGAGATGTTAATGGTATACAAGGCATAAAAAGGCAAGCTTCAGCTTGTCACCGTGCCAGTGTACTTTAACTTTTCTCTACTATTCCCAAATGGAGCAGAGACTGATAACACTCATGCCATTTCTTTATGCCAAACTATAGGGTAGTTTGTAGTGTGGAGAAATAAGCAATAATAAAGGACAATCATGGCAAGGCCACTAAAGTCAGCCCTGGACTACACCGAAAGTGTAAATCAACATAGCTACATCACTCAGGGGGTGTAAAAATTACATGCCCCTGAGAGATGTAGCTATGCCAACCTACCCATTGGTGTACACATGGTGTCAAGGTTCCTCCCCCACTCTGAACTCTAGGGTACAGATGTGGGGACCTGCATGAAAAACCTCCTAAGCTTATCTTTACCAGCTTAGGTCAAAACTTCCCCAAGGTACAAAATATTACACCCGTTATCCTTGGACTGGCCGCTACCACCACCAAACTAATACTGGTTACTGGGGAAGAGCTGTTTGGACGCGTCTTTCCCCCCAAAATACTTCCCAAATCCTTGCACCCCACTTCCTGGACAAGGTTTGGTAAAAAGCCTCACCAATTTGCCTAGGTGACTACAGACCCAAACCCTTGGATCTTAAGAACAATGAACAATCCTCCCAACACTTGCACCCCCCCTTTCCTGGGAAATGTTGGATAAAAAGCCTCACCAATTTGCATAGGTGACCACAGACCCAAACCCTTGGATCTGAGAACAATGAAAAAGCATTCAGTTTTTCTACAAGAAGACTTTTAATAAAAAATAGAAGTAAATAGAAATAAAGAAATCCCCCCTGTAAAATCAGGATGGTAGATATCTTACAGGGTAATTAGATTCAAAAACATAGAGAACCCCTCTAGGCAAAACCTTAAGTTACAAAAAAGATACACAGACAGAAATAGTTATTCTATTCAGCACAATTCTTTTCTCAGCCATTTAAAGAAATCATAATCTAACACATACCTAGCTAGATTACTTACTAAAAGTTCTAAGACTCCATTCCTGTTCTGTCCCTGGCAAGAGCAGCATACAGACAGACACAGACCCTTTGTTTCTCTCCCTCCTCCCAGCTTTTGAAAGTATCTTGTCTCCTCATTGGTCATTTTGGTCAGGTGCCAGCGAGGTTACCTTTAGCTTCTTAACCCTTTACAGGTGAGAGGAGCTTTCCCCTGGCCAGGAGCGATTTCAAAGGGGTTTACCCTTCCCTTTATATTTATGACACATGGCTAGGCTGATGGAAGAATACATTTGTCAATGGGGCTACTGCTGCTCAGGGGAGATGGAGTTAGTACACCAACAGAAAAAACTCCTTCTGTCTCTGTTATGTGTGTCTACACTACAGAGTCACAGAGGCATAGCTACAGCACTGTAACTACATTATAGTGCAGAAAAGTGTTTAGACATAATCCTGGTCATTTATTTATACTGGTGTAGTTAAAGCGGTATAAAACCTCTGTATAGAGGCGATTATACTGGCATAAAATGTGCTTATTTTGGAGTATGTCTACACTAGGGAGACTATACTGGTAACTACATCACTGTATGCCAATACAACCCTGAAGTGTAGATGCAGCCTACACTAATGGATGGGTTTTTTCTGTCACTGTAAGGCCATGTCTACACTAGTAAGCTTATAGCGGTACAGCTGAACCAATGCAGTCATGCAACGGTAAAATCGCTTGTGTAGCCACTGTATACTGATGGGAGAGAGCTCTCCCTTCAACATAATAAATCCACCTAAAGGATTGTTGGTACCTATGTTGGCGGGAGAAGCTCTCCTGCCAACATATCACTGCGCAGACGAGCGCTTATGCCGGTGAAACGTATGTTGCTTAGGGGGTGTTTCTTCATACCCAAGCGATACAAGTTTCGCCAGCATAAGTGATAGTATAGACATAGCCTTCCTGAACACCACCTTCCTGAAGGATGGTAGCTAGGTTGACAGAAGTCTTCTGTTGACCTCACTGTGTCTACACCGGGGCCTAGCTTTGCCTAGGTATGTTGGTCACAGGTGTGGATTTTGTTCATCTCTGACCTATGTAGATACTCCAACTTAACTTTTTAGTGTAGACCAGGCCTTGGTATAGCTTATGTCTGTAAGGGAAGGGGAATGAACCATAGCACCTTTACAGTGGTATAACTTCATCCACACTCTGGGTTTTACCAGTTAAAAAAAAAATTACATCCCTAACCAAAAGAGCCATACCAATACAAAAACTATGTGTAGACCAGGCCTAAGTATTTTGGAACCAAGGTCTCCTGAAAAATTAGCCAACCCTCCTTTCCCATTGGGTTCTCTTAATGTTTGCCAGATCCTATTTGTTAATGCCCTAGACCAGTGTTCTCAAGGACCAGTCCCCAAGATTTCCCTAACACAGTTTAGGAAGGGAGCAAGCTGTCCCTGCTATCAAAAAGGTTGAGACACAATGCCCTAGACAAGCCAGTTCATCTTGCCACATATGGGCTGCCATGGTCTCTTCAGTTGCATGATATTTTCAGGGAATCTCCCACTATTGCGTTAGGATTGAATCTGCCCAACTGATGCAGAAACACCACCATGGCAAATCCCGAACAGAGCTGGTTACAAAAACCAGAAAGTGATTTAGTGACAAATTTTAATTCCAAAGTGGTTTAAGTTTCACAGCGTTCAAAATCAGACTAATTTCCTGTGTTTTTTTATGATTTTTTCCCCCACAAAGCTGTCAGAAATCATTTTTGAACTGGTTTTCAGTAAAAAAAAAACAAAACTAAACTAAACCCAATGTTTGGTAAATTAAAAATGTTGATAATTTTAAGAAATTTAATCTGATAGAAATTCAAGTTAAAACTAATCATAGAAAACATCACAAAACCAAAACATCTTGACAATTTTTTTTAAAGAACATTTTCATCTTTGAAGAAGCCATTTTTCAACAAACAAAAATTTCCATCCCCAAACCCCCCTGTAACCAAGTCTGGTCCCTGACGGTCTAGATGACATAATGGAAAAATACAGATAGTTGTGTTCCCTACGCCCATAGTAGCACTCCCACTGTAGCAAGTCTAATTGTGATTTTCCTGAAAATTGCCAGTTTAGGCGATGTCATTGAGTCTATGTGAGCAAATCTGATTCTGTTTCAAGACTGTAATATTATTCCTTGTGGGGTGTAATATAATTACACATGCAATGTTAGATCACAGAAGATGAGCATGCAGAAGGATTAAACGAGGGGAGATAATCCCCTGCATGCTGTACTGAAAGCCAAGAAATTATACTTTGTAGCTTAACTATCCAAGTGCAATATAACCATTTCATCGAGGTAGCAAAAAGTCCTGGTTATCTTACCGGGCATAATGGCCTTCTGACAATGAAAGCACTTTGATGAATACTCATTAGAATAACACTGAGTACACAGCAAGAGCTCATCCTTGGCAGCAAAAGGATTTTCCACTAAAGAGTGATTGCATTTGGCACACTTGAAGCACGCTTCATGCCAGTGGTGGCCTTTATAGGCGAGATCCTTTGAGAGAGTAAATACATGTTAATGGAAAGCATTTGTTTACCCCCACAGCCCCCCCCCCCTTTTTTTTTTTTTTTTAATATATAAAGCTAAATAAAAAACACTTGGAGAGTGATTGGACCAGTGGCTTGTGCCATTGGCTGGAGGGTAATTGTCAAAGATGACAAACAAAATCTACCCAGAGTGGAAAGACTGTCGGGATATTCTGCAGTCCACTTCTACTGGCCACAAAGAGCTACTCTGGCTCAGGCTATAGTTGATACTCCATGCCCCCACACTTAAGAAGTATTTTTTGTTTAATTTAAAGGATGACTTTGTATTTTAAAGACAACCTTCCTGGGAAACAAATGGGCTTTTAATAAAAGCCACCAGGCTTTTTTTTTTTTTTTGGCATGGTCTCTACATGAAAAAAGTCAGGTCTTTTTTTTTTTTTTTTTTTTTTTACCTTTTTTCCCCTGGAAGACTCTATGGACAACTGAAGAACTGAAAGGGTTATGGCCTCACATGTAGCAAGCAGGTGAAATCTGCTTAACTGAGGGGTGAAGTGATTTTTATTCAGACTATTAAACCCTTTGCTTTTGTTTGTTTTTCTTTGTTAACACCCATTTAACTCAATCACCCTCTAAAAAGCTCCAAGGAAAGATTTTCTTTTAATAATTCAACATGCTTAAGCGCTGAGAAATCTAAGAAGATAAATACAAGGTTTTCACTTTGTTTCATTAAAAACAAGGAAGATATGGTTTAACACTCCTGATATTTCTAAGGTTAAAAAAACCAGCAAAAAAACCCACGAACAACTAAACACCAACATATAAGAAATATACCATAAAAAATACTATACTATAAGAAATAAACCAAATCCTTCCAGGTCTTCTTTCTAATGAAAGAAGCACAAAAGGGCACAAATTCTATCCCTTTCATTGCCCTTGTCAGTCCCCCTTAAAGTAATAAAAGGGGAAATAAAATACATAAGACTTGATTTTAAGAGGTGCTGAAACTACCTCTCTCTCTGAGTGCCTATAAAACAAAAACTGTTGTCAAAGAGTAGCCTGAGGCAAAAAAATATACAAAGGAGAGAAGAAGGCAGAGAGCTGACCCCTTAATTCTGTGAGGAACAACCAACTGTCAACCTAAGGGGGCAATGCTTTTAGCTGACTGTTGTACGCGTTTCATTTCACTCCTATTATATTTTCATCTTGGCTTTTCCTGTCTCTCAGGCCTTCTCTATGCCTAAAACTTAGACCAACTTAGCTATGTAGCTCAGAAGTGTGAAAAATTTACACTGCTAAGAAACTTTCTGTTAAGGCAACCTAAGTCCTGGTATAGAATTCTTCCATCCACCTAGCTACCTCCCTGTGGATTTACTACAGCAATTGAAAAAAAACCCTTTTGTCTCTATAGCACTCTGTACACTATAGCGCTACAGTGGCATAGCTGCAGCGCTTGTAATGTAGACACTCCATAGTCCTAGGGAGATGATTCAACCATTCATCTAGGGAACAAAATCATTAGTATGAAAAGATCCTGCTCCTTAGTTTGTTTTACATTTAAATTTTAGATTAGGCAGGTTGGTTGGGCTTCAAAACACAGGCTTTCTTGGCCACATAGAAGAATTTGCTGTTGAAAATGCAGGTCAGAGTTTTGGGACAGTTCTCACCCCAAATCAGCAGTTTTTCCTTGATAATTTCTGTATGAAACACAGCTGGGCCCTATCTTTAACCTCCACAAGGGCCATTGACCCCTTCCCTGAAGACGGAGGGCCCTGCCCACCATTACCCTCCCTTTATCTTCTCGCCCTTTGAGTTGGCTCTGCTAATGTAACTGGGCCATAAAGCCATCAGACCCAGACCTCTAGGGATTTCCCCCCAATGTAGGGTGCTTCCGCAGGCTGATAGAACACCCCTAGATCATCCATTGCAGATACCTTTGGCATAGGGGAAATGCTGTGGCACTGATGCAGAGACAGAGATGTTGGCTGGGCTTCTACTGAGCCCTGGCTAGTCTGAGCTGCTGCAGTGGCCTTTTAGGGCTACAGACAGGAATCACAAGTTCAGGCAGCTCTCAGGCAGTTCTACCCTGTATTTGGGGCTAAACCATCACCAAGACAGCCCAGGATAGGACAGGCTTAAAGCTGAAGTAAAGAAACTTCCACTCAACCCCAAGCCCTGTGCCAAGGTCAGCTTCCACAAAGGATTAACTGGGCCCTGAGAACACAATATATGCTAAGTGCATGGTCTGGGAATTCCTGAGCTCAAATCGTGGATCAGACACTGATTCCTCTTTGGGTCTGGACCGCTCTCTGAAGGTATGTCTATATTAGAGCTGGAATGTGTAAATTCCAGCTTGAGGAGACGTACTCACACTAGCTATGATCCAGCAAGCATGCTAAAAATAGAAGTATAGCCACGGTGGCGCAAACAGCATGAAGGGCTATCTATGGTCTTGGATGGGATTGTACTTGGGATGGCTAGCCACTCATGCCTCTACAGCTACACTTCTAGTTTTAGTGCACTAGCTCAATCAGACCTAGCACAGGTATGTCTCCCTGAGCTGAAATTTATATCTTACAGCTCCAGCATAGGTGTACCCAAATCTCAGCCTTAATTTCTTCAGCTGTAAATTGGGAATAATAGTTACTTACCTCTATTAAGGGCAGTGCTTAAATTTGTAATGAAAGAGGTGCTGGGGCTCAAGCCATCTTTTTACTTTCATAAGTGACACGGCAAACCTAGAGGTTCTGGGGCTCAGCCCCGGCAAGCCGTGGCACAAATTAAGCACTGGTTATGGGTATGTTGAGAGGATTAATGTTTTTGCAGTGCTTTATGTTATTTAAAACTGGGCCTAAAACCCTGGACCCAAATGTCACCAGATGCAATAGGAGGTGGATCCAGATCTCAAGTTACTTTATGGCAAACCAACACTGTTCCAGATCCAAGCACACCTAATTATGAGGAAGATCTGGATTAGGAGATTGCAGCTTGACTTTATTCCTGTAACGATCAGAACCACAAACCCAGATCTGGCTCCAAATATTGTAGCTTGGGTCCATCTCTGTAATTAAATATTGTTATGCACTAAACTTGCACCACTAATCCTGATGTGATTCCTAAACTCAGATCTCCTGCTAAGCAGAATACCTTTTTTCCAGACTTTGTGAGCAAACCTGGTTTATGGTACAAGTGAGCCTGGGCAAATTTCTGACTGAGTTCTGAAACCGTGTGAAACACAGATGTTTTGATAGTCTTTAAGTTTCTGGGTTCATGTGAATATGAAATTCAAAGTGAAATGCAGGGTTGTGAGTCAGAGCCAAAAGATAAAAGCTGACAGATGCCAGCTAACTGCATCTACTCGGGCTCTCACAGTTCTAATGAAAGGTCTACAAGGGGCCTAGATTCAAGGAAAGCAAAGTCCAGAAAGCTGAAGTTTGTTCCGTCTGATTGCATCTATCACGGAGATTTCACAAGCCAGGCATTGTGAGATAAATAAGAAATTAAGCTGTCATACTGCAAGTAAGGTATTTTAATCAAAATATGCCCTCTCAAGGCATCTTGTCTACGAAGACAGACAGCATTACATAAAAATGATAAATATTGTTGCCTTCCAGCTGAACTCCTGTGTGTTGACTAAACATTTGCAATAGAAATGATTTACAGACAAAGTGAAGTTGTTTTTCACTTGACATCTCTTGGAAGTATTTATTTTAAAGTTTCCTGTGATCTTATCTGTTGAATTACAGGGACAGCAAGAGAGAGTAGAGCAGGGAGAGAGTGAGAGATTGCAACTACTGAGAGTGCTAGAGCGAAAGGTAAATTTAAACAACCCAAGATAGCTCTCTACAATAACCAAGCCTTTCTGCCACAACAAGCAAACACACAGCCCCAGAGTTTTTATACTCTCCAAAAGGGAGAAAAGCCAGAGACTCAAGGAGGTCCACTAGGGACTTTGGCATTGCTAACTGATTTTATAAGGAAGGCACTCAGGTCCTACAATAAAGGACAGAGGTATAAAACCCTAAAATTGTTAAGTAAGGTAATGCTTTTCATCAGAAGTTGACGATACTACAAAATATTGTGGAAGTGAATTAAGTAGTTCTATTGCTTACTGCGTGGACCCTCTCGCCAGTCCCACCCACCAAACTGTGCGGTCTTTATGCAGGAAACTAAGTGGCAGTGAGGGATGGAATCAACTTATTAATATGAGGGTAGACCATAGATCATCACTACACTACAGACTCGATTCAAGACTTCTCCACCACTGCATCCACATAAGTATAGGTCCTCTGGTCCCTGCCCCCAACACTTCCTTCTGCAGCAGCATATTTCCAGTCAGCATAGAGCCCCCCTCCTTGGTGTGCAGGGATGCAGAGGCTCCAGCTCCCCTTTGTACAACAACTAAGTCCAGGTCTTCACACCTGTGCAGGGATTCTGAAGACTTCTGTGGCACAGAGAGCCTTGGGTGGAACCCACTCCCAAAGAGGCGGATTTCATGCTCTGTGATTTAACAATCTCAATAAATACAGACAAATGAACTAAATGCTTACCTTGGCATCACATTCAATGGGCTTCTTGCATTCTTCACAGGAGTTAGCGAATAGGTCATCATAACATGTAACACAGTAAGAATTCTCTTCTCTAAATACATACTTCCTGCCAAGAAGGGATTCCATGCAGTAATGGCAGTGATTACTTGTCATTTTTTGGTTCTTCAGCTGTTCTGGGAGAAAGGAAAATAACAAATAACAGGAATGAAACAGTTCAGGCCCAAACAATATCATTCTGTGGATAGTAATGTATTACTGGGGCAACTTAGGGAAGCGATTGCCTCGGTTACTTGCAATGCTTGGGATTCCTAATGTTGGAAGCCGGGAACAAAATGTGTAATATTCAGGAAGTGGTTGCCTTCATAACTCCAAACAAGAAGATTGCTTCAGTTTAGTCGGTTAGTATTTATACTGATAATCCTGGTGCCTGAAATCTGTTGCCTTCACGTCCTCTGCTGTTAGTGCCAAAATGGATCAGGCAAGACGAGTGGAAAGAAATCAATTTAAATTTCTTGCCCCACTCCCCTTTACTCCTAAGAGAGAACTATTCTTGCAGAAAATGAATAAACCTTCGCATTTGCTCAGTGGTATTAGTCAAAAGAAAATCAAGGAGACACAAAAAGGTGGAACGCACTCCTGCATACCGAATGTAATTTGGGATGTCAGAATTATATCAGGAAAATCAATCAAATTTGAAAGTGAGTTTATCCCCACACTAGCCATAGTCAGAAGATTTAATTAAGAAGAAAATAGGTGGACCATAAAGACACAAAGCCTCATACAGAAAGTAACTAGGTTTGTGAGGTTCCCCCCCAACCACCAAACCATATTGGATAAAATGTTTTTATGTACTGCATTGTGAGGAGTAGATTGTCCAGAAAATTCACACAATGTGGATAAAAGCTATACTCTCAAATCAAAATGACTATGTAGATAATAAGCCAAAGAGAAAGTAGGTTTGTGCTATGAGTTTTCAGAGTTTCCCTGCCCAACATCAGAATGTCCCCAATCTCCTTGGCAGTACCTTTCTTTCTGAAATGTGTCTTCCTTTTGGAAAACCCCATGTCCAGATAGAAGATGGACAAGGAACTGCAGGTTAGCTGGCTACTGTGAAGATTATCGCTGTAATAATAAAATCAGTGACACTGCAGGGAGATTTGAGCAGCCTTCTTCCCTTGGATATCTTAAAAGAAGAGAGAGAGGGATAAACCAGGTATAAACCAGGGATAAACCAACATAAACCTTGAATCAAACTAAGTTTATTTTTGTTGTTAGAAGAAAAGTCTTCCGTTTGTCTTACATGCATCTGTATTGCCAGGTCCCACCCAGAACATGACCTGGAAGTGTCAGAATACTGTGAGAAAACTAATATTTCCATGTCAACCAGATGCAGGAAATACCATAAATCTTCTGAGAGCCCAATCTCATGCACTTCTCTTCCCTCAGTTTTACAAGCCAAAGTGGGTTTGAATAAGTATAGAAGCTTTGGTATCTGAAACGCTGAACCTTTGGAGGCTTGTGGGGAAGGAGTCTTATTTCAGTCTTGTTATTACTAGTTGGATCAGCAATATTTTACTAAAATTAGGTCATGGTTCCTGGGAATGAGGGAAAGAGACTCCAAAAAGTTCACAGTGAAGCAAAACTCAGAGATATCTGCTAGACTTGTTGAATTGCACATTTGATTAGCTCATGACTAAGGGCCATTCTGCAGTTAATGTCAACAATCATAAAGAGTTACAGCGGATTTAAGAAAACTAGGTCTCAAAGTATTTACATCTCATTGACTTCGGGCAGCAGAAACTGAGCTCTTGCACGAGTGAAGTGAGGAGTAAGTTACAGCTTAGATCAGTGGTTCCCAAACTGGGGTTCGCCGAACTTTACAGGGGGTTCGCCAGTAAAATTTCACTAACAGCTGCCAGAGGATCCTGGGCATTGGAGGCAGCAGGTGGGATCTGGTTGCAGGGCGGACAGCCTGAGCCCAGGGAGAGCGGGACAGGGCAGCTGGGGCTGGCAGCCTGAGCCCTGCCCCCATGTGCGGGGGAGCCGGCACCCCAAACTCCAGCGCTCTGCGCGGGGCTGACAGCCTGAGCCCCAGGGAGAGCAGATCAATGCACTAAAACCAATATAATTGCACACCTAAAAGGACTTTGCACAACTTTCAGGGAATACTTTCCAGCTATGTCAGGCGATAATGACTGGATTCACAACCCTTCTGATGATACCACTTTCTCAACACAGATATTGAACACTGAGGAAAAAGAGAAATTGATTGAGATCTCCTGTAATTATGAACTGAAAAGGAGTTTCAGAAATCTGTCATTGATCAACTTTTGGCTGAGTTTAAGAAACGAGCACTCCCTTCTGGCAGAAAAAGCTGCTGCTGCAAAAAAAAGTTTTGTTACCATTTTTAACAACATACTTAATCGAGAAAGCGTTTTCCTCGTATGCACATCTGAAAACCAAATACAGAAACAGACTTGATGCTGAACCAGACCTGAGACTTTATCTTTCTCCAGTGGTTCCCGAATTCCAAGAGCTATGCAGAGCAAAGAAAGTGCATCCATCACACTGAGGAAATTTAAACTTAAATCCCCGGAAATATTCATTTTTAGGAGGGGGTTCACGAGATTTCACAATTAAGGAAAGGGGTTCGCGGGCTGTTAAAGTTTGGGAACCACTGGCTTAGATGAACAAAATGCAAAGGGTGAAAGTAACAAAGAAAGAACAAAAAGAAATAACATTTGGGGAAACAGTTAACATTAGAACTGGATCTATTCTATGCTGTGGTGCTCACTCCTATACTTTCTCATGCACCCACTGCGCAGCTCAAATCCACACTACAGTTTAAAGAAGTGCTGTTGCTTTTTTCTCCCTTCTTGAGGGCTGTTAGACATAATCCAAAAGAATATTTTAAACTAAACTACTGTCTATACCCACTAGTAAACTCGAAGTCAAGGACTCTGTTTTTATTCTGTTCCCCAAGGGTTGTGAAGAAGGGGCAGGGGAAGAAGATGGAATGCTTATCTTAGACCAAAAATAATGGCTTGTTCATTTGGCACAAGCTGTGGAAAACTTGTTGTCCCTGAGAATTGAAAACATTTTTAGCTGAATTGATTTACTATTTTTCTAACACCACTAAATCATTGCACTAGACAGGACAGTGTGCAATAAAAAAGTCAAATCATCTATAACTCATATCAGTGGGAATCAAGTGCTCCCTTAATAATATTACAGATTTATTTTGTTTCCTGTCCTTGGATCATCATACAACAGGAGTCTGAAGCCAGACTTCCACATACTTGGGTCCCATCAACGTCCTCTTTTAGCACAGCAAGCAATAGTTCAACTGTAAAAACTGCCATGTTGCAATTTTTTAAGATGTATCATCTGCTTTTGCATGTAGTGCAGCCTATTATCCTGACAATACTATAGCAAACATAAATTTGGGGAAGTGGGAACGATTCTGTAGATAATGGAGGGAGTTTATTTACCACCACCTCTGGACATACATCAACACAGATTCACTCAAAACTGATCTCAACTTACACTCCCCTCCAACCAAACATGAAATATGTTGTGCTCTGCGCCATTAATGTGATCCAAACATATGAAATATAGATAGTACTCACAGCAAAGACATTATTGTTATTAATATCATTTACCAGGCCCTGGGCTGCTATAAATCAACATAGGTCTTGTGGATCTGGCTCATAAAGTGCCGTTGAATTTTTATTTAGGTATTTAGTTTGATAATGAGAGGATTTAGAGCTAATTTAGGCCAGATGGTAATAAATAAAGTCCCAAGAAAAATCATAGCTGAAACTTCCTGATCAAAAGGGTTTATGAGTAGAGGAATACTTAACTCTCAAAGCTAAAACTATGTAACATGTAAGAAAAGGAAGACGACTTGCCTGGATCACTAAACTTAACAACAGGTTAAATACTTTGAGTATGGTTTTCATAACGTATCACCCTAGATCTTAGTTCTCCTTGCACTAACAATTACTGAAACCGTATAGGTGTATTGGGCGTTTGCACAAACAAATGGACCTAAATGGCCATCTTATGCACAAAGGCTCCCTTTGCATGTACCTTTATTGGATGTGTCAGTGGAAATGTAGACCTGCAAAGGTAATACTTACTCTGTTTTACAAAATTCTGACCTTTTTATGCCTATTCTTCTGTTGGTTCACATGCATGACTTCCCTTAATATTAATAGGAATCACATAGGATATTGTTATGCTTTACTAAAAATGAACTTAAGTACAGGAGTATATAAAGTCGATCATCTTATGTACTCATACCACTAGAGACTGACACACAGAAACATGCACACCATGGTAACTGGGTGCAGGGCCATGACAGAGCCCTCATTAAGGCAAAGGTTAGTTAAATTTAGGTGATCTTCCCTGACTTCTTGCACACTTACTTGGGAGGAGACATGCCTGTGGAATGGCAGGACTCTACTCCCAAGGACATGGGATTGGTTTGAACCTCAGTCAGAGGGGTAGTTTGTTACCTGTTTTTGTTTGAGTCACAGCTATACACATCCTTTGAAGTACACCCTTACTTGGCTATATTTCTGATTTGTTTCTGCTAAGTCAGTCCATCAGCTAACAAAGAAACAACAGGGCATGCACTGATGAGCTATTAATGCACACTTGCAGTGCTTTGTGAAGCACAATGTGCATAGACAAATAATTTCAGTCATGCACAAAATTATATGAATGTACATCTGTTCAAATAAATGGCATTCAGCTATTACGTTACTGTAAAATAAAATTCCCCTCCCCCCCGCTTTAGTTTTCTTCAAGGAGTGGTTCACTAGATTTTTAGGGTTAATCTATGCTGTAAATTTCTCTCTCTAAGGTACTTATATGGCACCCATCACCGTAGTATTTTAATATATTTATCACATTAAGCCTGTCTGGTAGTCAATTACTCTTATCCCTATTTTACACATGGGAAACTGAGGCACAGAGTGGCTGTAATCTGCTTCTGATCACACACAAAGGCCATGGACAAGGAGGGACTTGTACCCAAATCTCTTTAAGTCTAATACCAGTGCCCTACCACTGGACCATCCTTCCTCCATAAGCAAAAGAGAGACTTTATGGGTGAACTCATATCTGCTTGGGAAAATGCTGAAGGCAACATATCACCTACACACACAACAATAATTAAGCAGCAGGGGCCACATCTTACAGCTTTTCCTCAAACAAAACTCTCATTGATGTCACTAAGAGTTTGCCTGGGTAAGGACTTCAGGATATGGCCCATGATAAACTGATACCATGTTTGGACACGAAGCAGGAATGGTATGACAAAGAATGACAGACTTTTCAGATCTCACGACAAAGATGTGGATGATCTTTGTGAAGTACTTTTACCGTAAGACAACATAAAAAAATAACTAAATCCTGTCTCCCTGAACCATCGCTTGCCTCAGCCCAATAAATAAATAATGTTATGAGCATCATGTAGTTGAAATGGAATATTTTTCTGGTGCTTTGATCTTAATCTCGACAGTAATTTGTTTACTTGAAGTTAGTTGGAAGCTAGGCTTTGTGTTTTGGGAGGTCAGATCGGCATTCTCTGGAGAACTGAGGTTTTGCACTCTCATGGAATGAAAAACGCTGACTCCAGCATTCCATCCTCTGTTTACTGTGTCAAGGAAACAAGTAACATGTTGAGTTTTATGTATTTCTTGGGAAAAATATTTTGTTTTCTAGCTATTATGGGGACAAAGGTAAAATGCAGTTCATTTTAATCTATACAATAGGCACGTATAATGTAAGCGACAGTAATAAAAACGGTAGCTCTAGTATACGCTAAATGAGGAATCAGAGGAGTTACCATGGTAACTCACAAGGTTTCAGCATTGGTGTCTTTGGGGTTAGAGTTGAGAATGTAGTCGGAGTACAAATTATAAAGCAGATGAAAGCAGGACACAACATGGGCAGGCTGTTCTGCCAACAGTTTCACCAGAAGGTAGAACACAACTCATGCAAATGTTCCACATAGTGGAAATGTTCTATGTAAAGGGTACAGACTTAAAAGTCCAAAAAAACGTATAAAGTTACAGAGAATTGACATTCACTAACCCAAAGTTTTTTGAGGACTACACAAATCTGGTCAGCGTAGAATCAATTACAAAGGTATCTTATTCTCTTCTGTCATTG